TACACATATTCAAGTTGCCATAATTAGAAAAGCAAACACTTGAAAGATATAAGCAATATCTGTAACAAATTATCGAACAAAGCTTTCATGCAGCTGTTTACGTGTCAAATGTGTATGCTTGTGTAAAACGCAAGAAAGCGAACGAAAGTATCGAAAGCGCGTGCATCACTAAAACGATTCTTAGTCACGCCATAAATAGTTCTTCTTTCATTTCTGCAATGTTAAGTCAAGTCGAATTTTTCCTTGAATCATAGCTTTCTTTCGTGAACCGCTTAGATTTGAAACACAAAATTGGGATTACCGCTGCAGGCGTTCTTAATGAATGAATCTTACTTCAGACAGCCTCACAGCCTAATCCCATCATTCTGTGAGTTTTAGTGTTCTGTTACTTACGCCTTGACGTACTTAACTTGCAATTCATCGCCTAACTCCCTTTATACATCCCAACTATTTTACAAGGAACGTAAACTAAGTACGGACAAACAGTTCAATCCGAACATAAGAAGTATTGGCCCTACAATAATGGTATTACTCACAACCCTACCTTTCGCAATTTTCACCATCCTTAGCAGAACTATAAAAATTGATATATATGTGCAGAAGATAATAAGACGATGACTCACGAAACCCAAAAAAGCCAAATAGATAAAGTCCACTTCATTTTCACATGTGCGGGCACCATTATCATATAAATAAATACTGTGCTATAAGAAAAAGGTTAAATACATTCCATCCCAAACATATTTACCAGATAAAAAGTAGCCATGATGCATCATAAACAAGTCTTCCAAACATAGATGTAAATACCAATAGCTACACTTAATTTTTCTCACGTAACATTACTCCGTTAATAAATATGGTTTAAATACGAAGTATAACGCATACCCAAGTTATTAGACGCGCAACAGTTTATGGGAATTCAGCAAAAATAATCAAATCATCGTTCTAGGGAGAATTGCGCTTATCACATTGAACAAGGACATAGGCTAGAAATTTGCAAAGAGTAGGAAACAATTTGGAATAAAGAACAGACAACACAATAACAAGACTGAACAATGCATCACAATAATATAGGCCATGTATAAAAGAAGAGCCGCATTTTTAAGATAAGATATTCCTAATCTCTCGATGGATATAGCACAAAAAGTCTACGTACGACATGACGTTCGGTCCAGAGCGATCCTATAAAGATAAGCATTAGCGATAACATTAGAAACCTTTTTAAAGTTTAAAAATCACTTCGACAAAGAATTTCTTCATCCATGGCTCAAGTGCATCTTTTTCGCGAACGACGAATAACTTTCGCTTTCGAGGGCCAACCTGAATTTCCATTAATACGAGCGCTACAGATGCGTGTCATAACAAACCTCCTGGAGTAACTCCACAGCTCTCCGCAGTCCTCTTGATCGAGCATTGTCTTTTTCAGGAATTTGAGCCTGAAATAAACAGTGGAGATGAAAGCTAACCCTAAAGAGATGTTTGGAGAGCAGCATGCAAAGAAT